CATAGATCCGTCTGGATCACGTAATAGAGTGGGAATTTACGTAGTAGGTTAGAGTGGGTTAGGTAAGTGCAATGGCGTCGGGTCGCAAACTGGCAAGGCTCCTAATTAACTTAGTAACCTTGGAACTTCCCAAAGCATTCGATTGTGTCTTATCACGAGACAACGTCAACATTTTAAACTTTTCTCTACCAAACAGTTTCTTAATTTTGACAAAGATTATAAATCATCAACGGGTTTCTTCTCACTCATTAATCTATCCCCTACAACCCGTTTCCGCATAAATCCCCTTATATCCCTTCACTAGAGGCGTACTTTTCGTCTGTCACCAGTTCGACCCCCAATCATAATCTCCGTCACAACCGCCAAGATGTTAAAGATCTGGTCTATGGTAAGTCGCATCACTATTTCTATAATACCTAGTTGCGTACTCTGACATTGTATATTTCTAGAAATCGGCCCAACAAAAAGCCGACAACGCTGATGGCGCAGCAGGCAAGAAAAAGAAGGTCACACCTGCTCAGCTTCGGGTGCAGAAAGGTAAGATCCGACGCTATATCATGTATATCGGGACTGTGGAGTAACTAACACTCTCATCCTTACAGATCTCTCTGAGTTATCTTTGGGTTCGACGATGAAGACGATATTTCCCGATCCTGACGATATCCTCAACTTTACTCTCGAGATCACTCCCGACGAGGGCATTTACTCCGGCGGCCGATTTACGTTTACCTTCACCATGGGTCCGAACTATCCCCACGAACCTCCCAAAGTGCGCTGCCAGCAGAAGATCTACCACCCAAATATCGACCTGGAGGGCAAGGTCTGCCTGAATATTCTGCGCGAAGACTGGAAGCCCGTACTGAACCTCAACGCCGTCATCGTCGGTCTACAATTCTTATTCCTTGAGCCGAATGCTTCGGATCCTCTTAATCAAGAAGCTGCCGATGATCTACGGGCGAATAGGGACACCTTCCGCCGAAATGTTCGCGCAACTATGAACGGTGGTTCCATAAGAGGAGTATTATACGACCGTGTATCGGTTGGGCGAACTTAGTATGCTTCGACACATTAGGCAGAACGAATTTCTTCTCAACTGGAGGAACTGCGCGGCTACACGCAACTGGTAGACTTCATAAACCTGGGAAGAATAACTCAACCTTGATGACGGATACGTCCACTCATCATAGAGTCGGAGAAAGATATAACGAGAGGATGATAGGATGAAGCTTTGCATTAGCTTTGCAGAAGACACATAGCAAGGCGTTTTCGAGGAACCGCATTTACTTGGAGCTGTGGACGAAATCGCTACCTTATCGTCTTTGCCTTATGAATCATATGGCAATAACACCATGGACTTTGACAGCCGGGGACAACGCATTGCATGAACGGCAACCGGCCGTATACGATAGATAGATATTGGCGCACAAATACAACACAATTCACGATACTGAGGTCTTTCTTTAGCATCATTTGGATTCTCTTATATCTACTTACCTACCTACATACTAGGAAACTCGATTCGACCCATAGAACCTTTAGATACCTACATATCCACGTACCCGATATGCGTATTATGACCGTCGTCGTCGCTAATTGGATAGTATCTCTCTAGGTAGCAACTTCTTAGTTGCTTTACTTCACATTTAGAAGGAATAAAGGTAAAAAAGCTTACCAATACTATGTATGAAGCTGTACCACCACATGTACCCTGCCCCACACTCACCTTGACCGGACCGGTTCAAGGTTCTCCAGGGCCAATTACCCCACCATTGGCTGTCTGCAAAGACTCACCGCCGAAGTCGCACAGCTACCTGGTACCCAATGGTTAGCTTGCTAGCAGTAGCTACCGGGAAGAGACCCTGTTAAAAGTTAAAGAAAAAAAAAAGTGTAGAAAAAAATTCTGACTCGCGAGAGCCCAATTGAAATTTATACAATACAATTATACCCATCGTGCCTCTTGACCACGCCTCTTCCCTTCGATCTCCACTCAAATCGCATACTTCACGATGGCTTCCAGAGGCTTTTCCAAGGCCCTTCGTAGCCAATTGGCTCGTCGTGTGGCCTCGCCCGCTGTCCAGACACGCTCGTTCGTCGCTGCGTCCAACATCGCCCGAGCCACCATCAAGGCCCGCCCTGCTGTAGCTGGCGCTGTTCAGCAACAGGTCCGTGGTGTCAAGACCATTGACTTTGCTGGAACCCCCGAGGAGGTCTATGGTTGGTTCAATTGATTTATATGGAGGTGTAATTCTGTTCAATCACTAATATCACATTGTAGAGCGTGCCGACTGGCCCAAGGAGAAGCTCCTGGTAAGTCCTCGAAATTAATATATATCTAATATGTGTATCGAAACAATAACTAACATCTCTTAAAGGACTACTTCAAGAACGACACTCTTGCCCTCATCGGTTACGGTTCCCAGGGTCATGGCCAGGGTCTTAACCTCCGTGACAACGGCCTAAATGTTATCATCGGTGTCCGAAAGAACGGCCAGTCGTGGCAGGATGCTATTCAAGATGGCTGGGTTCCCGGCAAGAACCTTTTCGAGGTTGATGAGGCTATCTCTAAGGGTACCATCGTCATGAACTTGCTCAGTGATGCTGCCCAGAGCGAGACATGGCCCGCCATCAAGCCCCAACTCACCAAGGGAAAGGTGCGATAGTATGAGTCATATATAAAATTGCAAAAATACTGATAATTTGTAGACTCTTTACTTCTCCCACGGTTTCTCCCCTGTCTTCAAGGATGTTACCAAGGTCGATGTCCCCAAAGACATTGATGTCATTCTCGTTGCCCCCAAGGGCTCTGGCCGAACTGTCCGATCTCTCTTCCGTGAGGGCCGTGGTATCAACTCCTCCTACGCCGTCTTCCAGGACGTCACTGGCAAGGCCGAGGAGAAGGCCCAGGCTCTCGGTGTTGCCGTCGGTAGTGGGTACCTCTACAAGACCACCTTCGAGAAGGAGGTCTACTCCGACTTGTACGGTGAGCGTGGTTGCTTGATGGGTGGTATCCACGGTATGTTCCTCGCCCAGTACGAGGTTCTCCGAGAGCGTGGCCACTCTCCCAGTGAGGCTTTCAACGAGACCGTTGAGGAGGCCACCCAGAGCTTATACCCTCTGATCGGTGCCAACGGTATGGACTGGATGTACGAGGCTTGCTCCACCACCGCTCGACGAGGTGCCATTGACTGGACCCCCAAGTTCAAGTCCGCCTTGAAGCCCGTTTTCAACCAGCTATACGACTCCGTCCGAGATGGTACCGAGACCAAGCGATCGCTCGAGTACAACAGCCAGAAGGACTACCGACAGAAGTTTGAGGCGGAGATGGAGGAGATCCGCAACATGGAGATCTGGAAGGCCGGCAAGGCCGTAAGGTAAGATTTTCTCATAATTCCCTAGAGAATCCTAGGCTATTGTAGTCCATCAGAACTAACCACATTAATTGTACAGATCTCTCCGACCCGAGAACCAAAAATAAGTGCATTTGGCGTTTTTAATGAAAAAAAGGTTACGGGATGGTAAACTAAACGGCGAAGGCATATTCCCCGGGGAACAAAAGGAGGAGCTTTTGTAAATTTACCTATTCAGGATTCCGGACGTTCATGTGTCACGATGATCTTCGGGAATGGCCCCAAAAGTTGCTGTAGTCCAGTTTTCATGAAGCATTTCTGAAATTATTCACCACGCCTTGTGTGATGCATGCGAAGGCGTTTTTTTGCTCCGTTATCGGACCTCGATAACAAATTGTAGATTTGTGACTGGTTAGCTTCACTACTTACCAAGTTCTTTCATCCCTAGAATAATCCCATCGGTTTAGATGTTGAGGAAGGATTTAGGAAAGGCGAATCAGAGTTCGATCTTTACTTGTGCGACTTACATAAGATATCACTCATTAACTTACCCCTTGCTCGTCGGCCTATTATATAAGATACCACCTTAGTCATCTGAGACATACCTATTTATCTACCTTACATAATGGCAGACCCCTCCACCTCCCCACCCCTAACCCGCGCCTCAGTAGCAGAGGCCCGGAAGCTCATCGAGCCCTTCGTACACCGGACGCCGGTGATCTCGAGTTCCTCGCTCTCGGAGCTTGCCTCGTTGCCGGTAGGGAAGGGGAAGGTGAACCCGAAACTCAGGCTCTGGTTTAAGTGCGAGAATTTCCAGAAGGTGGGCGCTTTTAAGGCAAGAGGCGCGTTTCATGCTATTGAGAGGTTGAAGAGGGAGCCTGGGTGGGAGGAGGGCGGGGGGAGGGAGAGGGGCGTTGTTACGCATAGTTCTGGTGGGTTTTTGTGCCCCCCCTTTTCCTTTTCAAATTTTATTCGTTGTTGTCGCTTCGTTATGTACGTTCTCGGTTGTCTTGTCCTATTTGGTGATATATTGGGGGTGAAATATTGAGTGTGTGATGATCTTTGCTAAGAGTTGCGAGTGGAATGGTTCCCCTATTCTACTAATCGGAAGTACTAACAACTTTAAGGAAACCACGCGCAAGCCTTATCATTGGCAGCTCGCACTAATAATATCCCCGCGTACATTGTGATGCCTTCGATCTCAGCACCTCCGAAGATCGCCGCGACCAAGGGCTACGGCGCCAACGTGATCTTCAGCGGCAGCACGAGTGTTGAGCGCGAAGCCGTCACCGCAAAGGTTATCGAGGACACAGGCGCTCGCCTTGTACCACCCTACGATCACCCGGATATTATTCTGGGTCAAGGCACTCTGGGTCTTGAGTTCCAAGAGCAAGTCAGGGATTCGGCATACGAAGAGGTAGAAAGGACTGGGAAGCCCACGAAGAAGAGAAATCTTAATGCGATTATTGCGCCTTGTGGAGGCGGCGGCAGTAAGTAGCTTCTAAGAACAACCGTCCCATTCTTCCTTCAGTCTGAACTCGGGAGTCATTCAATTGTGGTACCTAGCAACAGAGTATGACGTATGTACACTGTGCTTGCTGTACACCATATAACTTACTTTAATGGCAAGCACATCCATCGAATGGACAAACTTGCCTATTGGCCCAGTGGTCAAGGCGTCTGACTGTTATCTTAAAAACAGAAACATCAGAAGATCCCTGGTTCGACCCCAGGATAGGCAGCTTCCTTTTTCTGTCTTTTTTGTTTCCTCTTGCAAACAGTAAACTCACCGATTTGACTCACTACTTCCTCATTCTTCACGTTACACACACACACACACTTGCCCCCTTTTCTCAACTCCAATTTTAACCTTATCACCCATCTGTGTGACAAATCCAACCAAACCCAACATAACATAATAAACCAAACAACTCCTAACTAACAAACCCAGTGCTCTCCGGCGTAGCCCTCTCCTGCGAAGGAACCGGAATCCGCGTCTTCGGCGCCGAACCCTCCTTCCAAGGCGCCGACGACGCGAAACGGGGCTACGAATCAGGAACCCGAATCGAGAGCGTAAAAACCCTCACCATCGCCGACGGTCTGCGCACGCCCGTCGGCGCGATCCCCTGGTCCGTCATCTACGACCGCCGCCTCGTCGCCGGCTTCTACTCCGTCTCCGAGGCGCAGATCAAGAGTGCCATGAGGCTCGCGTACGAGAGGCTGAAGGTCGTTATCGAGCCTAGCTCCGCGGTGCCGCTTGCCGTTGCGCTGTATGATGAGGACTTTAGGGCTTTGGTGGAGAGGGAGGCTGGGGAGGAGGGGTGGGATGTTGGGATTGTGTTTAGTGGTGGGAATGTTGGGTTGGATGCGCTGGGGGCGCTGTTTGCTGAGGGAACGGATTAAAGAGGTTGCTTGGTTTGCTTCGTGGATTTCGTATATATAAAGGAGATAGGCGCCGTATATAAAGTTATAAGTATGAATATATATGTGTGTAGTGTCATTGATCTCGTCGATCTCATATGTACGTACCTACCTACCTACCTAGGTACGTGATTATGCTAAAGGACTTTTATAAATAACGAATATACAGGTAGAAAAGGGTGTATCATAGATGAAAAGAGCGCCATGCTATTCAATGATATTCTTCCAACTCCACCCCGACCCTGAACAACGTTTTGTAGTAGGTATCTATGCGAAAGGCCTCATCTAAGCCGTAGTGTCACGCCACACCTCAATGAGGACCCCCCAACCCCTTTTCCTGCCTACCTAATAACCAAACGTCGGACGTACCTAGCCAGACTCATTTATTATTAAGAGCCTTATCCATCTGCGTCCTCCACTTCCTGCTATTCTTCCTCAGGAAGTAAATACACAAGTTCCCACTGATCCAAGACACCAAACCCACCAACGTCATCAACCAGCCCACGCCCATCGCGTCAATCAACGGCTGTCCCACGATACCACCAGTACAACTCAATATATTCCTAACGAAATTATTAAGCGCAACACCACTACTGCTCCTCCCCGGCATAAACTCCGTAAGCATAGTCGTCGCCGCGCTAAACACCAGCATGCTCCCCACGCCGAAGAAGAAGTTAGCCACGGACGGCGCGGCCCAGTGGATTCCGTACCGCAGCGTCCAGCCGGACCACACCAGGGCTCCCGGGTACAGCGTGGCCGCGATCCACGCGTTCTCGCGCATGCGGTCCTCGGGGAGGTACACGAGCTTGCCGTTCGCGTCGTACCGCTGCGCCTTCTCCGCCGCGCGCACCATGATCCGGTCGATCCAGCGGCCTCCCAGCATGCTGGCCGCGAAGTAGCCCAGCGACCCCGGCAGGTAGAGCAGGCCTATGATGATGGCAGAGTAATTGTACGGTTCCTTCGAGAAGGAGGATTGGAGGGAGATGTTGAGGATGTAGAGGGATCCGAAGGTGATGGCGGCGTAGTAGACGGTTATGGCGACGGCGGGGAAGCGTAGGTACATGATGATTTCGAGGGGGTCGAGGAAACATCGTTTTAGCGATGTTGCTATGTTCTTGGTGTATATTTGCACCGAGCGCGTGGTGGAGACCCGGGATAGGTCGTTTACTTGTGAGGACTGGATTGCAGCCACGGGTGCTTTCTTCGCTAGAGTTTCTGGCACGCAGAATAGCACGAGGACGAATACGACGGCGCCGTACGCGGTGAGGAACCATTCTGTACCCCTCCAATTAAACCCTTCCGTAAGCGCGCCACCGATGATGGGAGCCAAAAGGGGGCCCATTAACGGTCCAAGGTAGAAATAACCCATGGCACGACCACGTTGTCGAGGTTCCCATATGTCGGCTATGGTGCCCGCGCCGACAGCCTGCACAGACGCGGCAGCTCCGCCAGACAAGACACGAAAGACGATTAACATGGCGATATTGACACTTAGGCCACTTAATAAGGAGAAGACGACGTTTAAGAAGAATGAAGATAGGTAGATATTACGTCGTCCTAGGGTTTCGGAGAAGGAACTCCACCATAGCGGGAAGATTGACATCGCAAGCATATACAACGCTACCGTCAAGTTCACCACCGTCGGCGATGCATTGAGACTTTTAGACATCTCCGGGAGTGCAGCTAATACGATTCACGTGAGTTTTATGGTACTTATTTGCAGAGGAAATATGCTACGGTTTAATGAAAAATATGTGTAGGTATGCTTACGGAAGAAGATGGCAGATCCCATCGGCGCAGCACATGCTGCTAATGCTATGAACACAGTTATTGTCCATTTGACCTTGTCTGGATAATCGTAAGGCCGTTCGACCTCTGGAATGAGTGTCAATTGTGCGAGGAAGCCTCGTCGTTTTAGTCTTGGCACTACAGACAGCGCTCTGGATCGAGTAGACGATGCTTGCGACCTGGCTCGTTCTGCCGATGTAGTAGCCGCAGCTTCTTCATCGACTGGTATGCCATTTGTTGTCAATATCTGTTCAGGGACGGCATCTATCGAATCATCGTCCACATCTCGAGTCGAGCTAGCGATTGACGCAGTAGCCTCCTTGTCATCCGAATGTCTTCTGTCGATCCCAGCATTTTCTGATTTCTCTATCTTTTCTGGATCAATAGTCATAGTCACGAAGTTTCTGGTGAACAATGAATAGAGAGCAATGACCCTTGACTGTAACCTAGGTTATCTAGACCGACAAGGTAATAACCGATATCGGGGGAGCAAGACAAAGGGGCAAGTGGATGTGGAAAAGTTGATTTTAATACTAAATCGAGGACCTTATAAGAGTATTGGACGGTGATGATTCATGGACTCCATGAACGAAAGTGGAATATTACCAAGATGACGGGAACCTTGATGTCAAGAACTTGGAGGCTGGGGGATCATACGGTGAAGTAATGAAATCGCAAAAAAATAACCTAGGTCCTATACTCATAGAATCACCAGGGGTCAATGAGAAGATTAAGCACTTTGTCTCGGGTAGTGGACCTATCGTAGGGACTTACCAGCCTACTACCTACCAAAGTAGGTATAAGGAAAGTAAGCTTTTCTGAGGCGGTTGGTCGATTCACTGCTTTAGTTCGTGTGGGGACGAGCTGCAGAAACGGGAATTGCATCTACGCGCGAAAAGCCGAAAAACCCGACATTCATGGCCGCGGGTCAAAGATTCCATTCGGTTAGCGGTTCCGATACGCCAGATCACAACCAGCAGGAAAATCGATACTCCAAAAGGTTGCATTCTGGCGATCCCGGGACACCAATGCGGGTTATTTGCTGGCTTGGGATCGGATTCCATGACACTAGCCTGCCATATGGATATCCATACTCGTAGTTATCGGCGCTAGGAAGGGTCCCCGGCGGAAGTGTGCGATAGCTATTCGTATACTATAATGTTCCACTGGACGTTAATTGTCAGAAAATTGCTATATTCTTATAGCTGTGATTTGTTGCTTTTCATTTTCAACATAAGCGCATAAAGGTGATCATGAGCCGTGATCCGTAGGACAGTAATGCTCTGGATAACCGGCAAGCTCGTCATCTATGTCTGAGGAGGATGTAGAGTAGCCTTGTACAATCCATAGACAGCATTGGCAGCCAGTTGTCAGTTATAATATAACCCACTTGAAATAAAATCATCTCTAGTCTCGGTGAAAGCTCATTCACTTGCTGTTGAGACGGACCTTCGTTCATTAAGATACACAGAGAGCAAGCTCACGTGTAGGAGAGAATCAGAAATCAGAAGAAAGGCAGGGGCGCGATTCATTGCTCCTGTGACTCTTTCAGAAGGTTAACGACATCATATCATCGGACCCAAGGCTTGAAACGACATCAAGGTGGTCGTGAATGTCGCACAGCATGTAGAATACTACCCGGTGTGTGTAAGGAGATGAAAATTTACGAATTCCGCGAACTGTATTTTCCTTATCGGAGGAAGCCGATGGAAGCATTGAGGCGTTTGCGGCTGAGTACATCCACAGCCACGGTGGCTGCATGTAGAATCTTGGCGGCGGGGTGGGGTGTGGGGTAATCGAGACAACCGCTAATAACCTGAGCCGTGATTAGCCACTTGCATCATAGTCACCATCCGATATAGGAATATTCAACCTTTCTCGATATTATTTGTACCTAGCATCAATATCTTAGACACCTAGGCGATGTCTCTCACGAACGCTTCCCCTTCCGAAGCCGCGAAGGCGGCTAAGGAAGCTTCGCATGTGCTTGCTACGCTGTCCGAATATGCAAGGAACGATGCCTTGACTGCCATCCATGCTGGCCTTGCTGCTGCCAAAAACGATATTCTCGCCGCTAATGCTCGTGATCTCGAAGCTGCTCGCTCAGCAGCAGAGAGTGGGCAATTAAGCCAGAGCCTGGTTTCGAGATTGGATCTTGGGAAGAAAGGAAAATGGGAAGATATGCTGAAAGGCATACTTGATGTTCGAGGCCTTGAAGATCCTGGTAAGCCGTTGACATCACTACTGCTGAAATGGATGCACGTGCACGTGGCTAATTATTTTTCAAGTTGGCAAAATCACCTTAAGAACTAAGCTTGATGATGGCCTAGAATTGACAAGAGTCACATGCCCCATCGGCGTTCTTCTGATTATCTTTGAGGCACGACCTGAAGTTATTGCTAACATCGCTTCCCTGGCGATAAAGTCGGGTAATGCTGCCATTCTGAAAGGAGGAAAGGAGTCGACCGAATCTTTCGTTGCTATCTCTAAAGTCATTTCCGCGGCACTCGAGAAGACGAAAGTCTCCAACGGC